AACGCAAAGGCCAGAACCTCCCTTTGTGTGAAAGTGGTGTCACTCCTTCTGATCTGAATGGAGCAAGGCTTTACACCAACCAAGGGAGCATCTAGGCACAGACGTCAGAGCGAAAGGACTGACACTGAAAATATCTGGTGGAACCACAATTTCTTCTAGGAACCCTCTGAAATAAGGTCATGTTAGGAAGCAGTTACTGAGGGCCTTGTTTACTTAGACGACTTCACTTGATTTTCACTGTTTGTGCACATTTTAACAGCCTATGAATTTGGCATTCATAATGATTAATGGAGGAAGACAAAGGGTTGAGCCCGGTGTGTACGTTACCACAACATACAAATGAAGAATACAAAATACTGCTATTGTGTCAATATTTGTGGTCATCTGAAATATCTGACTCCCTTTGCACAATGCTGCCTTTTACTGCAATTTACCTCCTCTGTGCAAGTCTACATATGTAGAATTATTAGAATTTTCTCTATGTTTATAAGAATTACCTTGTGTGATACTGTGGTTGCTAAGGATAAGCAATGGTTAAGAATGGTTTCCTGCCTAAAGAAGAATACGAAGATTCCTGCTCTTGCAGTTAGAAGGGATGATGTATCTAAAAAATAAAAAAAGAGTATTGTTAATGTTGCACCGCAGAGACCAGTGAAAATAGAAACAAATGCAATAGGTAAGCCAAGATCTGAGAAAGGTTGAAAATGCTAATTGAAAGAAGGTTAAAAGAGCAAAACTCAATTAATTGTCTCCAGGCATTCATTTTCTCTTCCCCAGGTCCTCTGAAAAAGTAAAGAGCTCCTAATTAAAGCAGGCATCTGCAGTGTAACCGCATTGCTGCTGCTGACCCAGGCCAGCAAGATGCTGAGTGTGTGCTCCTCATTTCCTATCGACACTGAAGTGTGAATGAGGGGGCCCACATCCATCCAGGGCTCACTTGATGTGTGCTTTGGAGAAGTGACCAAAATAGCAGGCAAGGGAAGAGAATGGAGCCAACGCATGGAGGGGTTCCCAGTTTACTGTTGAGGTTATTGATTAAAGCCCCTCTGCTTAGCAACAAGCTTGAGAAAACTAATGATAAACTTTACCACAAAAAGGGCTGTAGTTGTACCATAATCGCAGTCTTGCATGGCCTTCAGCATATCTGTCATGGGCTATGGTGTTTCCATGCAGGTTGCAGCAAAGGTTGGAATGAAATTGCTGGCACTGGTAGAGCATGTTCTGGATTCATAGAGACTTTCCTTTTAGTGCTGATCCCTTTGAATATGAAACAGGGAGGATGGATTTGTTACAGTAATCCCAGTGGATTACTCTGCATGGGGAAGAAACTGTGAGCCCTTTTGGGGCATAGCTGCTTCCATGCAAACATGCCTTGGCAAAAGCTCTCCTGGGGAGAAGAAGAGGGAGTATGAGACAAAGCACGTGGAGAAGTGCCGACCTTGTCTCTCCCACAGGCAATGCACACAGGGTGCTCGAGGTCCTGCTAGGTCAGGCCTGGTGGAGACTGTTAATAAATTTTGGGTTAAATAAGCAAATGCAGAAGCTGTTCTTCATGCTGCAAGGGATGAAGTCAGAGCTGTGGACTTCGTATCATGGTTAAGCAGCTGAAGCCCCCTTCTCATCTATAGGCTGCTGTTCCTTGTATTTGCTGAAGGAAGGGGCATGCACCAGGAGTTGCATTGATGAAGCATGACATATGTCATTAATTGAAACCATATGCAGAACACTGCATGCTCCCCATGCGTGTGATACAGGGAGCCAGCTGGTACTAACAAAATGCTCCAGTGTGCGAGAGTACTGACTGACCTTGCATTAACAGAGAGGGACCTTGAACTCTTACAGCCCGCAGAAAAGTCAAGAGTGGATTCACTGAGACAGAAAGATAAAATAGATGCAGAGCTCTTTCAGCACTTCCCTCCATTTGCTTCATTATCAATACGAATATAGAAATACAGAGGTAAACAGTTTGTATAGCTTGTCCTTTCCATATGCATATATTTCTGTTGTGAAAGTCTTTACGTAACTTCTAACAGCAGATTGCAAAATAATGCCTCTGTTATGGAAGGAAGCCACCAGCCATTACATTGCATTACTGTAATGTAATGGGTCTCTGAGGTGAAATATATTTGGAAAGCTTGCTTTTATTGTAAACCTTGTACCCCATCAACATCCCCCCGGCATCGATTTCCCTTTGCATACTCCAGAGATCAAAGACCACGAGGCCAGAATACCAGCTAGACCTGAACAGAGCCACTAGGGTTTTGGCCCAAAACAGAACTCAAGAGACAAAACTGCACTGTTTATTTTAAGGGATGCAGTACCAGTGACAGAACATATTCAAACGGATGCTGATGACCAATCTGCTGAAAGGTGAGTTTCTCATTAGCCGAGAGCAATTGACATTGTAATTAATTGCTTCCCACACTTCTTTGCTAAGTAAAGGCTGCTGTAATAACAACTGCTGCCATCATTTTAATTTTTTAACTGAACATAGGGCATAGACAAAAGACAATCTGTATTTATTTTGTTTTTCTTTTTGTGCAAATGTCACATTGCTCTCATGTTGGCAATGGCTGCAGAAGTGCTGATTCAATTACTTATTTACATAATCCCTTCAGATTTTTCTTTCATGTCATTGTTGATAATGAAAAGATTTTCTCAGCTGAGAAAAGGAAGGGAAGCAGGCAAGTTCTGAATGTGAATAGGCTGAACTGACATAAGAAGATGGTAATTTGCATTAGTAAGAAATAATCATAATGCAGATGATTAGAATTATGGTAAATACTGTCTACCCTACCTGCCCAGGGGAACATCCACCCCATGACAGTGAATGCCTGTTCAGCTGCAGAGTGCAAAGCAACCCTACACAAATTGCCACAGCACAGTGGAATCCAATGTTTTTACCACTTAGTGCATAAATTTATTTTGCAGGGCAAAGGTTTTAAAATACTCTTATTCGCATGTGAGTCAGTGCAGCACAGTGAGGAGGAGCAGAGACACGGCTTAGTGCACTGTTGGCTACAGTGATGATGAGACTTTGGGAAAGCTCCTGTGACAGGAAAGAAAAAGCTGAAGCCCGCTCTGCACATACAGCACCTGGAAAAATAAAGCTCTTTATAAGCCATTTCTATAAGGTGACTGAGCAGAAAAGACACACCCCTGGAGCAGCTGCCCCCCAACAGCTAGGGATGCACCACTTGTGCTGTGTCCTCCATTGCATGGTCTTGCCTTGTGCTGAAAGCCCTGCTCAGGCTGTGCCCCAATGGCCCAGGGGGGGTTGCTGTGCCTCACAGCTCACCCCCTCTGTGGGATGGGACCAGGATTTTGCTCTCCCCCAAGCCTCAGAAGCAGAAACTTTGAATGATCAGATGGACTGCCAGCAGCTCTCGGGGTGAACTAGTTGTATGAGTCTTGATGATGGAGACAAATTTGACAGAAGCTACAAAACTGTAAAAAGCTCACTTGTAATTCAACACAGTGCACTGATAGCAAAGCTCAAGGTTTAGCTTTGAGAGGCCAGAGCGTGGACGCAGCTCTCAAAACAAATCTTGTTATTGAAGCACATTCTATATTATTTTTAAAAAGCAAATTAGATGTGAGAGCTCAGCTCCATTAACAAGAAGAGGGTTGGTCTGGTAAGGACTGAGCTGCACACCACTGAAGCTCGGACTCCACAGATAAACCTTCCAGAGCTCTTCTGAAGATGAAACCCATCTTCAGCCCTTCTGGAAGACCAGATAGCTGAAGAGCAGCTGTAAATAGGGCTGTTATGGTCAGGGCAATCATTTAATAATTTTTGTCCTTAAAAATCACCCTTCCTTTGCATTTTTAAACTTTTTTCATTGTTGTTTGTTTGGGTTTTTTTGTTTCTATTTTTGTTTTGTTGGTTTTTTTTTTTTTTTACTGTGGTTTAAGTGTATTGCTTCTGATACTAGTGTGCTGACAATTAAATTAAAAAAAAAAAAAACCCTCCAAAATTCTAAGTGTTAAGATAAAAGCTTCCAGTACTTTTTCTTTTTAATAATTCATCCAGCAATTTTGCTTATGAAATCACTGCTTACTGTTTTCTAGGGGAAGAACGGACTCATCTTCTAGAAGTAATCTTTACCTCCTGCACCACCAAGAGCCTGTGGCTCATGAGCTCCTGTTGCTTTTTTTGGTGTCCCTGAATTTGAGGAAGCTCTAAAACTGGGTTTAAAGGTCCCAAAGCCTCTTTCAGCCATCCAAAAAAAAAGTGCGTTTATTACATGTCTATTACAACTCTTTGAGTATGTTAGAAAATTAGTATATCGGACTCTATTACAAATCTTTTCCCACACTGAGCTCTTCCAAATGCAGTGATGCCTCTGAAACTGCACATTATTTACTTCAGCTCAAAACTCGAGATGTGTTTTTCTAAAGATTCAGCATGTTTTTCAACTCAGCAGTCAATTCGCCCATCGTAGACTACGAGCGTGGGTGGCGAGGAAGACACAGAGCCACCTTCACGCTTCAAAACACTTTCATTGCAGATACAGTCATTAAACAGACAAATTGTTTGGCTAAGGCTGAAACCTGATGTATGCTCATTATACTCTGCTGGCAATTTTCCCTGAATTTTAAATAAAGGTGACTTGTGTTTCCATAGCAACTCAAGCTCCTTTACCAAGATGCCTGATGCACTGTTAGTATTACACAACTCACTGTATTAAAACAAAGTGTAATTGCACAGTTGAAAAATATACTGTATCTAAAGGATTATTTTTGCTCCTATGACATTACAGCCACTTACTGGGGAAGGGCTGGGGAAGGAAAGAGGGCATAGACCAGTTTTTGACGATGTACAGTGCTGCTAATTAGCAGTTTAGGACAGAAGATGGATATAAGAAAGACACGAGGCATAAAAAAAAAGAGGAGAGGGAATAAATGGGCTGCGTGAAGCAGCCTGCTGTTCTGCTGTGAAGTGTGTCAGAGAAGCTGGAATGAGTCCGAGTGCTTTGCCCAGCTGGGCTCGAGCGGGCGCTGGGCGCAGGCTGCCATGCAAGGGGCAGGCTGCGTCCAGGCCTAGCAGCATCAGCCGCCTTTGGGGGCTCCTACCCAAGGAGGGAGATGTTGGAAGCCGCTTGATCTGCCAGGTCTCAAGGGACTACGGCTGGACAGGCTGCGCCTCACCAACGCCGGCTGCCCTCCGGAAGGCAGCGAGCACCGCTCCCGGGCGGCAATAATTCACCACCACGCTACAAATAAGGAAGGTTGCTGGGTTTCAGCGACATGTTCTCAGAGAAACAAGCCTGCCCATCTATCTGTCTAGAAAACGCACTGAGATTTAGATGAATGGCTCGCGTATGTCCGGGTGTGGAAACACTGGATTAGCTGCCCCTTGAACGCCCCACTTCAGAGCGCCGCCTGCCATCGCTGCGGGACATCACACGGGTA